ACTGTAGCTATAACGATTAATTATATGATGAAAAATACATAATTTCTATGTCAAATGATTTTACGAAAGATATCATTTTAAACATTAACAACATTATATAATGTTATTATCTATCAATTTTAATTTGATTCTCAACTGATATACTTATTATATTCGAGCTTTTCTTAAAATTTTGTTCTCTATATATTTCTAATTTACTTATAACTGTGGTCGCCTATATTTTTGTAATTGCATTCGCTCACGAATTTATACTAATAAATTATTTTTATATTTCAATTTACTTATCAGTTTTTAATAAAATCCTAATGTAAATGTATGATTTGTAAGATAAAACTTTATAGAATACTTAATTGCAGCACAACTATTTATTTTTTAAATTATAAACGTCGTGTGTTTTATAAATGAATATTATTTGAATTTTTCTTCTTACATTTGTAAATGACTAAATTATTAAAGAATATAAGTATATTCAAATTTAACATTAGCTTAATAAAAAGTTTTATAAATAATCTTACTTTTAAATGGACCAAGTTATTTTATGTCTCCTTTCAAAAGTTTTATTTAAATATAATAATTTTGAATTCTGCGCAGTTCATTAATTTATTTAGATATGAAAGTGGACAATAATTGATGAATCAAAGCAATATTGTAAAGGTTATATTTGTGCTTATCTCACTTCGGTAAAGTTTCCTTAATGACAATGTACACAGAGTGATATAGCAACAGCCTGTCGAAGTCGTAATCTACTCTAGCATGCATTGAAGCATTAATATACAGAATCGTCGTCACTAGTTCTAAGAGAGCATCTTCTCTTAAGTCAGTCTTGCGAATTGTCACTGAAGTCACTTGGTAAGTTGGCATTCGAATCACTGCCTCTCGGAGTAAAAGTGGGCGAAAGAGAAGGAGAAAGAGAGAGAGAGAGAGAGAGAGAGAGAGAGTGTGTGAGGGGGGGGGATAATATATAAGTGGAGCTTATAAATGATAACTAGATCGATTATAGCGATTGACCAACTAAGATACAACTACTGATGAACTACATCATCACTTACACCAGATAGTCATAGGATTCGTGTTAAATTTAATCGACGTGAATATTTTTGTATGATTTTTTCTCGAAATTTATCTCTGATAGTTAAGAACCGTCTGATGACCTAATTGCATGAGTTTTGAAAAAGTGGCAGTAATAGCAACGGCACGTAACGCTAGTGATTACATTGAATGACACGGTAGCAACTGCCAAGCTCGAAACTTGGAAATTAATTAATGTTTACATTAACTCGAAAATTTATCTCTAAATTATTGTAACTAAATAAATAAGCTTATTTAGTATATTGAATGTAGTATGTATGTAATGAATGTAATGAAGTGACTCATTTTGAAATTTGTTTTAACTAAATTTAGACATACGTATACGTATAGTTTGTTATTATTTAAATTCATAGAAGTTGAGTAATTATTAATTCAATTAAATGTTCAAGGCTTTATGATTGGCCAAGATTTAAATCAAAATTTTTAAATCAAACCGTATTCTTGATTGAATATGACACCCAGTTTTATATGTACATTCGAACAATATTTATAAAAATCTTTTTTACGAAATTAGTAAAAAAAACTGATTAATTTATTATCATTTTATTTTAATTTACATATGCAAATATAATTATTTGAGAAAATTATATCTTCTTATTATTTTATAGTTGCAATCTCCGTTTACATTATTGCATGTAATGTTTATAAATAATTTAATTTCAATTTGCCGTTTTCTGTAATGTAGCAATTAAATTCTGTTAAAAGATTAGAAAATTTTTAATAGATTAACAGTAATATGTATATTAGAATAAGCAAAAGAGAAAGCAAAAAAAAAAGAATGAAACATAGAAATACAGAGAATGAAACAGAGACTAAAATTAATAATGAATGTTACAAGAGAGTAAAAGAGGTGACAACAGAACAGATAAACAGAGGGTGGGAGGAAGAAAAGAGAAACAGAGAGGGGGAGAGAGAGAGAGAGAGAGAGAGAGAGAGAGAGAGAGAGAGAGAGAGAGAGAGAGTGACGAATCAATTTGCTCTTCAAAGCCTTGTAATTATTCCATCGAGATTTGTAAAAACATGTAGCGGATCTCACTGCAAGGACATTAAAATTTCAGTATGTGTTACTTAAAATACAATTTGTAGCACTTAATTTCCTTAATAAATGTTGATTGATGAAATAAATTCAGGGTTATTTTACATAATCATTTGCTGACCATAGTTTATATGATAGTTACATTATACCACTCTCAGTTCCTGAATTATCTTCTTTACACCAAGTCCGATCGAAGTTACAGAAATTCATAAATAAAATTTTCAAAAACTTTTTTAAAAAAATAATTAAATATATAAATTTATGAAATAATCTGAAATTTGATGTAATATTTAATGCTGTATATTTTTTATGTATACATTGAAAAGAGTTTCTTCGTTATAGAATAAATTTTTTTACTATTTAAATTTTTTAAATTAAACTTAATTGATTGCTCATTTTTAAGTAACCTCACTTTCATCAGTATTTATTTTTTGATTTATTTATTTTCCTATTTAGGCAATAGCTTATGTTATTGTTACGAATAAAAATTGGAGTTGAGAACTTTATAACTAAATTTTAAATCTATAAGTGATTTCAAAACATATTATAATAGTTAATAAAAGTATTTATTAAGAATTTGAGAGCGAGTATATAAAATCTTTAAGACGTAATAATCGAATTTTCGTTACAGCTTCTACTAGCACTCAGTGAGAGAGTAGGACTTACCCTTTATATCCCACCTCCATTACCAATTTAATCTCATGAGTTTCTACTCCAACGTAACATATCACTATTCGTCCTTTTCGCATAGCATCCCAGTCTGTATGCATCAATCTGACTTTTTTCAGGGTCTGTAAGCTGACGAACTGCTGAATGTCTAAGTACGGCCAGCTACTTAGACGAAACTTCATCTCCCTCGTGCAATCATTTCCTGTGAGCACCCAAGTTTGAGAAATCGGTGTAGTCTTGTCCATCGAACCTGTTCCTCTCAATCCACCATCGAGCTCCTTTCGACGCGCCTTTGTAAAGAGAAGGTTACTTTGACATCAACAATCTTGTGCATCCCTAGCTCGCTTTTCGTCTTACTACGTACCGATCTTTCCGAAACGAGAAATAAAGCAAAATCTTTCGAAGCGGTATTGGTAAAATCATGAGGGGCGTATCTGCATGTGTACAAGATTACAGTTGGCTACGTCTTTTAAGCTGCATTTTTACAGGACCCAACGAAATATCTAGTAAAGGATACGTGCACCGTTCGATACGATACATTGAAAACGATGAATAAAAATGAATTGCCACTTTCAATTTTATACCGTTGCTGTGTACATTGATTAAATTTAAATGAAAATTATTTAAAATGCCCTATAAAAAATAACATTCAATTTTTTAATTAATAAGTAACTTATATCAAGGCTTTTAATTATTTTGATTTTATTTTAATTTTGTTAAAATACCTAAAGATCAAAGTAATTTATTTACTCTGCTTTCATATTTCACTTCAATAAATTTTATTGTTTTTAATGCTGATCATAAGTGCAGTTTACTTTTTGGTTGATTTTGTTATATTAATATTGTTTTATTTTTAAATAATTTACTTCTAATTATATGTAAACATAATATAGAAGTTAAATATGCATATACATTATAAACTTTCATGAATTGCACATTTATTGGTTTATTTTAAAATAATATTTAAGGTAGTATAGTCCACATATTATAAAAATATAATCTAATTAAATAATAATTTAACTAAATTTTATTGTTAACTAATAATTATATAATTTAATTAAATAACATTCATTCAGATTTCGTGTAATAATTAAATTCGTGTTTTTATATATCAATAATTCAAATAGATAATTTTTAACCAATAAATTTATAAAATAATTTATAAAAGGAAAGATAATATTAAAAGTACGTAATAAAAACGTAGTAAAAACTGTTAAATAAAATATCTTAAGTTTAAAAAAAAAATCTTAATAAATAATCTAGTTAATAGATTATTCTTGTTAACATATAATTATCGGATTATAAAAATGAAAATAATTATGAATATTATTCAAAAACTTTCTTAAAATGATTAAAGATGAAAAATAAATGCATGCGAATAACGAAACAAAAGTGTTAAACATATTTCAAATTATTTATAAATTGTACTCGTTGCAAGATTAAATAAATAAAGACTATCACACGATTTCGAGGAAATAATCTCTCTCTTTTCTCTCTGTCTCTGTCTCTCTGTCTCTGTCTCTCTGTCTCTCTGTCTCTCTGTCTCTCTCTCTCTCTCTCTCTCTCTCTCTCTCTCTCTCTCTCTTTATATATATATATATATATATATATATATGTACATAACCGTGATCCAGGATTACTATTTTAATAATTATTCTTTATTAAAACTATAGAATTAAAAATTAAGAATATTTTAGTTTAAATTACATAATGTAATATAAGAAATAAATAGTAACAGGTCGCCAATAATAAAATAACTTTACAAGTGTGCTTTATCACTATGCAAATGATGATCATACGAAAAATAAATGAGTTGCAGATCTATTTAGTGCAACTACCTATAGGATACTGTAAACGAAGATTTAATTGGAACTATATGAGTCTATAACTTTAATTCAAAAGAAGATAGATGAAAAAGGAAGAAAAATATAACACGAAAGGAAAGTTAGCGAAAAGACTAAATATAGAAGATAGAAGTAAAAGAAAAAGGAAAGAGAAAATAAAGAGAAATGAGAGAAGAGTATAGACGCAATATAAAAAAAGAGCTAGATAGAAAAATCTTTCTTAAACCTTCTGGCAAGAGTAGTATTTCTATAGAAATGGAAGTTTAAAAAAAAATTGTGTGGAATCATAAACTGACTAGAAATTGGAATAATTATAAATATTAATAAATAGATTAATGAGATAATTACACGTCAAATCTTACCAACAACATCAAGATATCCAATTTGACTTTTCATAGGATCCGTATTGATTTGGCACATATACCATCCGCGATCGGTCTCTTTCACTTCTTTTATATGAAGAAACCAGGTGCGGTGTTCACTATGCGTCAGGCCAATTCGATGATTTTTTGTGATCACGTGATTTGCTATTGTCAGAATCGTTTGCGTATCAACACGTAACCAAGCAACCTGGGATTATAACGAAAAATAAATTAAAAAACGAAATAATACTTTTGTACGTAAAAGTATATTTAAATGTAAATGTGTTAATCAATGTTTCAATTTACTACTAATATTAGAATGCTTACAGTATGTCAAATAATAACCTTATTCCAAAATAAAATGAAAATAGATAATTCTTATATTTACTATATGTCGTTCAGTAATTTGTTTACCAATAGAAATTAGTAATTATATTTTAAAAATGTACTTTTTATACTTATGCAAGTCATACGTAAAGCTAAATCTTATATAAATAAATTACTAATATATGAATTTTAATATTTATGATATTGGTAAAAGTTAAAAAAATTTATATTACATAAAAGCAAATCAATTTAAACATTTAATACAAATAATTTTTTACTACAAATGCATAAGTTGTTACTCGAAATCAGACTGTTAGAGATTGAGAGAATTTCTCGTGTTAATTATTTTGGGAAAAAACCAAGGGTCATAACTTTTATAAAAATTCTTCCAGGGTCATTGGAGGCTCGGAAAGTGGAATGAGTGACCTTTGATTTTAGCTAGCAAGAGCGCGGCGAGTTTGTTTACGCGAGAATATTTCAAGAGTTAAGATATTTGAAAACAATATCGAGTCGAAAAACATTTCCTAAAATTCCTTGTAACGAGAAACGCAGCTCGTGCGACATCGGGCAATTTTCGTCTCCTCAATGCCTTCAATGTCACGAGACATCACCCATACATTGTTGCCGCTTGCATATCCACACGTTGCCAATTGTACAAGCCAAGCGAAGACGTTTTACCAAGAACACCCCTTCACCCACCAACCCCCCGTCCGTAAGTCCGGGAGAGGGGTAAGTCGCCCTCCGATTGAAGGCGCTGCCGCTAAAAACACACTTTTCGACGTTGTCGTTGTCAAAGTTTAATTTCTTCGTTATCCGCGTGGGGAAGCCAAGTGAAAACTAGTGACCAAGTTTTTATTAATTGAGCCACTATCGATAGAGAAGAATCGATAGATACATCAACCCTCTTGATGCAGCTGCAGCGGTTGATAGGTCTTAACGCTATCTCCTTCTAACCACACTGAAAGGACCAGACTACCACCAAGCACGCACTCCCGGACATTTGGATCGTGAATCATGGTGAGCTACTCATCCCAGGATCAGATCAAGGACACCGTATCACTGTGAGTACAAAAAATCTGTCTGACCTATACTACATTGCCATATCCATTAAATAATATAAAACCTAATTCGACGAAAGGAATTGTGTGATTTCAATTGTCGACCACAAGGAGCATCTTTTATAGTGAAACATCCGTCACAGGAAACTTTCCAAGCAATCGTATCATTGTAATTAAACATTAAGATGCTTCCCATACATGGATAACGTTATTGTAAACAAATTGTAAATAAACCATATTTTCATCGAAAACGCACTATATTTTCTACAACCCTTCCTCTTAACTCCTTTCCGAGGATTTTCATTTGCTAGGGCGGGCGCGGCAGACGTAAACTATTGAAGCATTGACAGTTCGGGCCATAGAAACTACATCATTTTCGAACCCAGACTCTACTAAAGTTTTGAAAAAATTTTCAATATTGATAACATTCTTTGAAGTATATTTTTCTTTTTCTAATTCTGTATTTCATATAATATCTTATTGATGTATTATTATAATAATATTTTAAGATGTATAAACCATTTTTCTACACTACATTATACACTCTCGTACACCTATGTACAAATTTTAGTCGTTTTATAAAAATGTCGTTTATTATACTTGAAATCCGTTATGATTATCATTGTTAGATTACATAATATTATTATGATCAATCAAAATATGTAGAATAATTTGATTCTGTATCTTATGAAAACACGTAAAAACAAGGGAAACATAGTATTCTATTATAACAGTTATTTTAAGAGATGGATTATTTACTTTCAATTATAATTATTAAGGATGATATTTATTCTTTTATAATTTTTAATTTAAGAAATAAACATACATTTATGATTTTATTGAATGATAAAACTATTCGTGCATTATGAGTATAAAAAATAATACATAATTACATAATATATAATCGTATGTATCTCTAACCAATTTCCAAATTATGTGATTTTATAAAAATTTGATACTGCATGAAGAAATGCGCATACATTTCTTATATAAGAGAAGAAAACAAATTTGTTGCCTTACGCCATCAGGCAATACGATGGTTACGCACGCAAGAGTCTCGATCGCTTGAAAGCAGGAGAAAAATAGATTGACTCGACAAAAATCGTAGAAGGAGTTTTAATGTATATGTACTTGTGTGCATAATGACGGCTAACAGGTTACTCTTTAACTTTCTGATGAATCATTATGTAGCTAATAATTGAATTAAAAAAAAAATTAATAGATTTGGAATAAAGTCGATTTTGAATTCTAATAATTATCATGTTAATTTTCATAAACATGCGATATGAATTTTTTTTAAACAAGTTACATTATTACAAGCACAATATAACATTAAAAAATATCACGAGACCAAGTATGTCTTCTTAAAACAAAAACAGTTACATTCTATACAAACATTTGTGTAATAAATGCGTATTGTTATTACATTCGCAAAAGAAGATAAAATTTTATATTTATAGAAGTTTTTAAATATAAATTAATGTGTAATATGGTATATATAATAAAAAAAATTTGATAAAACTACTTATAACTTCCGAGTCAAAATTATTTCGATTTTCACTAGATTATCAAAAATTACAGAAAATATCTTATTATTCAATTGCTTTATTGAATAATTTCAGAACAGATTAATTTCAATCTCAATATTATTGTTAAGAAAATCAAATACTGAAAACAGTTAAAGGTAAATCATTTTTACGTGCAATTTGTATACAAATTATATCCTAAATTGAACGAATTTATTATTTAATAATAATAATGTTTTTATTATAGTTTTTCTATGAACATAATTTATATTTATATTTATTTATTTATTATATCACAAACGTATTTGTTTAAAAATATGTTTTCATAGTTCTGATTTTAACCCATTCAATTGAAACTTTACCCATGCATTATAGAATATAGTAAATGGCCCACATACAGGAATGCAGTTTTATTTTCCTAGATTTAACATTCCGTTAAAATTTATGTATTTATGCACAACTATAATTGGACTAAATTATAAGGAATATCCATCTTTTCTTAATATACATTTAATTAATTAATGTATTTAAAAAAATAATATTTCTTGATATTTAAATTATATGGCTACAGAAAGTTTAAAATTTTTAAATTAAATTAAAAACTATGCCATTCCTAGGAACTTTCAAAGTACTATATTGCATTCTTATCTTTAAAACCCTTGAAGAAAAAGTTATCTTAAGCATTTGAGAAAATTCATATCCCGACATCTCTTAAATTTAAAGCTATTTTTATTTACTTTAATAAATTAATTACATTCGTAAATGTTTAAAAATAATTTTTTTCACCAAATCAGTTTATTTTATATAATGATTGAACTGTAGTATATTTATATATATATTTAACATAGATTAAATCGCTTGCAATTCTAATTGCGAAAAGCTTTTCGATATACTAAGCATCGAAATACTAAAATATTAATAATGAAATAAACTAAGGTTAAATATCTAAATAATTTCTTCAAACTTAATGCTTCGGGATAAGCAAATATTTTTTGTAATACAATCTTAAATTTCTACTATTTCGAATACATTTATTCGAAATACATTTATTTCGAAAACAATTATTGCTATATTCCGTTCTAACCAATCCAATTATTTTAGATTATAAAATTACTTATAAAATTGACATTGTTTCTATATTACTATATAACTTTTCTAAATTGAAAATAATAAAGGTAAAGGAATGCATTATTTAATAATATATGTAATAAAACAATATTTTTATTAAATTTTGTAATAAACAATTGAAGACGGGCTATGTTTCAGTGCATATTATAAAAATTGTTATCTTTCCGAATGGTCATAGTCAATTATGTTATAAGTTTTAATTATCATGAATGTTATTTTTATTAAGTTTATAGCATTAATTTTGTTCTTAATATTAAAATAATATTTCTCCGTTATAAATAAATTGCAAAATAACCAGTCTCTTCTAATTCCAATATGTATAACCGTTCGTTACGTTAAAGGTCAAACATCGTATGCAAATGATGATTAACTTCACGAACTCTATTTCTGAGTAGGATTAATAAAAGTGAAGTCGAACTATGGATAATATATCAAGATAATTTACTTGCGTTATACAGATTAATCCAGTATGTATTTAATTACATGTATATTTAATATCAATTTTCTATAAAAATGTCTCGTTTTGTCAAGGATAAATCTAAATGTTTTTTGAGATCAAAGATATATATATATATAATGACTATTAAATGAAGAATAATCTTTAGATTATAAGGTACAATATAATTAAATCATTGATAAAAGTAAGACTTTACTTAATAATAACGTTTAATGATATATTTTTCGTTTGTTTTTTCAATTATCTATACAAGTTTCATTTCTTCTTATCATTTTCAAATAAATCATTAATAATATTTTACATTAAAAAATGTTCCTTGCATATGTTCATTTTTTTTTATATTATAACTGTTATAATTATAAAATTTAATAAATATTATTGATTCACAATCTAACATTGTATATATTTTATTAAGTAAACTTAATTACAATTTCTTAAAATAATTCTTACATATTCTGTTTTATAATTGTAAATTTATAAAAGTCACTGTTATACACTTAAATCGAAGGCATTGATTAATCATAAAATCTGAATATCCGATTTAATATTATAATATATAAATATAATACCCATATATATAAATTATTTTATGAATATATAATAATTATCTAATTACTTCAAATTTTCGATAACATTTGTTTAACTGTAGTGTTAGTTTATTAGTTAAAGTTGCGTCCAAATTGAATTTTTTATTTATTCAATGATTACATTA